ACAAAGATAAATAACATTTGTAATATAATAGAAAAAATGGATTAAAATTTTCTAAGTTGATGAAGGTGTTCTTTAATAATTGGAAAATTTCTAAGTTGATGAACGTGTTCTTGTAATGTTCCCTTATATTGGGGCGTTGTCGGAGACACATATCCAAGGTTGTACATATATATGGGGTGGTCGGCTGAACGACTGCTAGTACTAAGGTTGCACAATGACTAGTCCTATATTAGGGACTTAACATAGTAAGGTCTGACGAACCAAAGCATTAATATAGAAGGTATCTATGATGCATAAGCATTATGATAGCAGAGTTATGACTTGAAGTCCCATATGAATAAGACATACAGTAGTATGGTCTATGAAATAAAGCAAATATGTGGAAGGTCTCAAATATGTAAAAGCATTATATTGAAAGAAATGGGACTTGAAACGGATTATTATAGTGGCGTGTAGGTTGCTTCGCAGCCTCTGAGACCGAGGTAAACTTGGACTCACTAACCGATGTGTCCTAGACATATCATCTTAGTGCCGGTGGTAAGCGGGTTTGTTGTAGCAATACGACTTGCCCGTGGACATCGCACACCCCTACCGGTTGTGGGCGGCGTCTTAGCGCATAGCGTTATGATACGTCGGCTATCTTTCGGATTAGGGTGAGTGTGTTTGGTAGTACTTTTAAGTGCAGCAAGCATACTCAACTTCATGTCTTAGTGCAATAGCGCTATGATACATGGAGTATTAGCTACTGACGTCTTAGTACCGTGCTACTATGATACGTTGGTGGTATTTTTAGTTAACGACATTATCAAATTTTGTTACCAAAGTCGATAGGGATCATGTGGGTGTGTTGTGAGGGGGCGCCATCCGTATGATAGTTGCATTGATGCTTACTGCTACTTGCAGTATTGTGTCTTGTGATGGATCTGCGGGTGTGCTGCACCTGATTCGATGCATCTTGTGGTTTTGGTCGATGGAGGTATGTGGGTGGTGATGTCTGCTGGGACTGTATGGGGGACCTTGGGATGGTGTAAGCCCGACGATAGTCGTATTGATGCTTGTTGCATTCTGTAGCATTGCGTCTCTACGATGGTTGTTTGGCGGGTCGCTATTCTCAATGGCGCTCTCTGCGTCTTGGTTTGACTCACAACCTAAGTAGCTTTGCCCAAGTCGGGTCCCTTCATTGCGGGGCTGCAGACTGTCTGCCCTCCATGATGTTTTATATAACAACTTAATAATATATCTCTATAAAGTTCCCACCTTTGAGAGATTGAAGGCAACTTGTTGGTGGGTGAGACACACATGATCGAAAAATGCATATACTCAACGTCAGTGACACAAACCCTTTCTGATGGCGAATTATTAATATTATCTTATAACTGCCTATTGGCTATACCTGCCATTGTATTGGTTGGTGGAGCATATGTGTTGACCTCATGCGGGTGGTAGCTGGAGGGAGAATCTGAGGAGGCTCTCAAGGCTGCGGCCGAAAGCCGCGCAACGTGGGACCCCATTCCCTTGAGGTGAGCGGTAGACTCAGACACGCTCTGCGGCCAATTGGCCGTGCTGACCATGCAATTGGTGGTGATGCCTTATACATCACGTCTGCAGAAACGGCGGTCTGGCAGGTGGTGGCGCTCACGGAGGGCTTTTTATGGTCAGTGTGCCGATTGTTGCCTAACCCGTGTGACGTACATTTCACTGTGGCTGGATTTGATCGTATTCTGTATGGCGTTTACACGCATTGACATGCGCGACTTCGGTCGATGTTTGTGCTTACGCACTATCAAGGGGCCAAGTCCTCTTTTACTGGTTCGCCAGTTATTTTGCTGCGTTACAATAAGTTATCGCGCGCGCGATGACTTATCATTAATCTATGGTTTTAACTTTTACTTTTTGAGTAGTTATTGCATTTCTTATACGAATTTCAAACTATGTGTTTTATAAAAAATTACATTTTAATATATCTTTCTCTCTATGTTTCTCTTTCTGTTTCTCTGTTTCTCTATTCGCTCTCTATGACTAATGACCGTTATTATTTAGGGTCACTCCATAGAAAGTTTACGCTACAATCATTATGTCACAGCCATGAATTTACTGTACTATCATCGTCTCCTATTTTAACAGGTCTGCGAAATTTCAGATTATTCAAACGTATGAAAGGGCGGAAAAAAATATAAACTGCGGTTGCAAACGAGCTTGTCAAGCGTGGCAAGCTATGGTGAAATCCCACAAATGAGGCAATCTATAGGTGAGGTTTATGTTCCGCTGTGGACTTTTATAGGCTGGGATAGATTGAATAATAAAATAAATAAATGCTCCAATACTTGAACAATTTTGTTTTCAATTTTATGTCGTTTTTAGTTACTATTAATTCTTGCTACCGTTTCGAGTGTTGTTACTATCATAGGCATAGACTCGAAACGTAGCGTCGATAAGTGAATATATAATGAGAGCATTCACCAAATTTTCTGTCACCAGGGCGGCGCCACTTTGGCATGAGGTGAAATATTTGACAGATTTCATTGCGGAGGAAGTTAATTTGTTGAATATTTATAAATTTTATTATGTAATAAATTGTTTTGTAAGATATACACCAATCAGGCATTGTTTTGAGTATATACGTACACTAAAAGATCGCAACTTTTCAATTATGATGACACTATGTGACCATCTGCGTAACAAATAAATTCAACTTAGTCCCATCTAGCGACATCTTGTGAGCGTAAGATAATTAACCCTCATAAAGATAAAACGCAACAACATTTCTAAAATTCAGCTTTTATTACTATAGCAAGGTCGATATTCACTTAAAGCAATTTCCACTGCAGTTAAATAATATCATTATGCGGCTTCAAAGAGCCTATTAAACTTATTTACTTACGTCGAAAATAATTTTCCATTTACAATTCCAACGTTATTGGAACTTTACTAAATTAGCTTTCAGTTAGTTTACTTAATAGAAACTAAATTTTCAACGTTTACATTTTAGGAAACACGAATTAAAAACTTTAACGTCGAGTTCTTTGACCAACATTGAGATAACTTTCACAAAAGTTGACAAAAAATTAAGAACACGTGACATTTTCTTATACTTTTAATATATTTTTAATATCAGTGTGACAAACAAATTGGCTGTCCCTCTGACAGTAAATGGTTAATGTAGAGTACCCTGGACATCTGCAACTTGAAATAAAAAGGTCATAGATGTGTTATCATTCATGAACACATTTTGGAAATGCACCTGCAATTCCCTTGGTGTTGCAGTTGTTCATGGACGGCGGAAGTCACTTATCTTCAGGTGAGATGTATGCTCGTTTGCTTCCTCTCCTATAAAAAAATGAGGACTAAGACACAGTATAAATATGAATTTATACTGTGACTAAGATACTAAACAACTGGTAATTCTTTAAAAGAATGGTACAGCTGGTAAGTAGTAATCAGTATAAGGAAACATACGTGGTAGATCCACGCTGCATCTATATTATTTATGGTTGTAGCACGGATGGGTTAGTTAGATCGGGGTTGAATCACGCTCTCACAGAATACTAGCGTAAAATATCAGCTTTATGCTGCTGTGTTTCGTATGGTGAGTGTAAAGAACCGGAGACCCTTTTTACTAGAAACATTTCCATCTGAGTCGTTAAGGGTGACAACGCATCTGCATATTGATTATTTACGCTATTTTTTACGCTGGTGTTCTGTGAGAGCGTGGTCCTTCTCCGGTGGAGCTAACCCACTCTTGCTACAACCACAATATAGCTATAGCATGACATAGAGTAACGTACATTATTTTACGCTCTTTTAAACTAGCACTAGCGACGTATTAAGGGCACTGACCGCTGCGTTGAGTTATGCGGGCATAAGATACTCGTGCCTATGTAAATGCCAGTTACGCAACACGCGTTCTTCGTTTTACGATACAAGAAACCATAAAGCTGTGGTGACACCAATGAATATTGAAACAGCTTTGGTAAATCTAATGGTATAATATTGAAATCTTTTCAATTACGACAAAAGATTGCGTGTTTTAAATTATTATGTTGCACGCACAAAGCACGAATGGATCGGCTCGACTGGGGTAGGACCACGCTCTCAGAGAATACCAGAGCAAAATAGTGGTTCAATGCTACTGTGTTTCATATACTGGGTGTAAAGAACCGAATACCCTTTTTACTGGATACGAGGCATTTAACCTTAGTCCTATGTGACAACGCATTTGCATTTTGATTCTTAATCCTATCCTCAATAAATGTAGATGACTATGGGCCATAGAAACCACTTACCTACATATTGGCTGTGTTCGCTTTTCACCCTTATCCTATTAAAAAAAGTGCTGGGAGTGGTTCACAACAGTAACCTCTTTTCTGTTTCTGTTGCCAGGCAACTGTACCTGTACTGTTGTCTCCCAGCCTTACGGGTAGAGAGTCAGTACAATTACAAGATTTGAGACATTCACTGAAAGGCACAAAGAAAAAGAAAAAACAAACGATCGGCGTATTCAAACTATTAAATTTTAGTTTATCTCACCTAACCATTATGCTATTGCCACTACAACATTAGTTATTAAATATAATATTACTTAAGTATTTTTTAAATATATAAGTGAAAACAATTTATTTTCCTTACAAAAATTGTTGATGTAAATGGAGTGTAAATTTAATTGGTAAATCTAGTAATAAATTGGGTGTAGTTTACAAACGTATATAAATTGAAATTTAAAACTAGTATATCCCAATGAAACTATTGTGTTCTTTACTTACCCTAGTTAAGTGAAATATCGAAATATATTCAACATCAGACGTAGTCCTTCTTCAGGTTGGAAAAAAAAACGAAAGTTACTTGTAAAATAAATAACATATTTATTATCTATAACAAACAATCTTAACCTATACGATAAACCGCAACAGCCACCACACGAGTATAAAATCACATTTAGATTTTATAATAATTTGCGGCACAATTAAAGCTCTAATTCAGTCTTCTATTGCTATAAACCAATATCACTCTTCCGGCTCTATTAAGGCGTAGTCTAATCCGTTACCATCGCCTCCTTTAGTAACTTCGTTATCTTTAGCTGCTTTTGTGGTCTCTTTTAACTCCTTTTTGCGTATTTTGCCAATATGCGTAGTTGATTCTAAATCTGCTTGCTCGAGTGGTGTTACTGAAGAGTTCTGTATAGGCTCAACTTCTTGTTTCAGTGTCGATGATTCGATAGTTTCGATTGTTTCGGTCTTCACTTCGGGCGCCCGCACTTCGATAGGCACCTCTCTCTCTGGCGGTGGAGGTGGCAGCTCGTGTTTTGGTGCCTTGATAGACAGCTTGCCGTGCTCATTCAGCACTGCCGTCACTTCTTCGGGCTTGCTTCCCGGAGGCAGCACAAATCGCTGCACGAAATGGTTAGCCATGAATTTTTTATCTTCGTCCTCTTCTTTGTGCTTCCCTTCAACGATGATGTAACGATTTTTAACTTTGATCTTCAATTCGTCGGGCTTAAATTGTTTGACGCTTAGAATAATTTCAAATTTGTCCGGTTCCGAGATAATCTTCGGTTCCTCTAAGCTGTCCTCGGCGTCCAAAGCGGCTGCGGCTCGTATCAGCTGACTCCATGGCCATAAGTAGTGGTAAGCTAAGGAATGACTGATATGTCGATCCAACGCTGCGAAGGGATCTACATATTTGTGCTTCCTCGCTTCCTCACACCTCACTAGGCTTACAATTCCGAATAACAGAAGCGCGTACTTGTACATGTTAGTATGGCTCACTTGCAATGCGTTCAAATAGAATGCCGGGCCCGCGGGTCAACCTGCTTTATATAGCTTTAGTGCGCGTGGGGAGTAGATTCGAGAATGTACTCCGTGTTTCATTGACGGTAAGTAAGCAGCGGTTTCCGTCAGACGTAGTCAACTGTTGTGAGAAAGTGAAAATACGTGAGGTCGCCGTTTGTCTGAGTCATTCGTTGAGTGTTGCAATAAAGTAGGTTTGTTTTTGTTGAAATCATCGTATAGTATTGTTTACAGTATGCCTGATAACGGTTCATTTAAATGATACAGAGCGATGACCTCCTCTCTCTACATTAAATTTTTTAGAGTACCTACGCGTTTGACTTAACTGGGTTAAAAAATTTCATACACGACACGACATCAATGTCAAGGACTTTTTCATTATTTTGTGCCTACTTATATATAAAGTTTGCTAAGTTATGTTGTGAATATTTACCTACAATTACCTACAATATAAAAAGTAAATTAGGAAGTTAGAAGAGATGAATAGAATGAAATTATATTACTTAATGCTTTGAGCGATTTTATTATTTATTAAAAAATTTCAAGGCTAAATTTTATGGCTTAAAATTTACATTATCACTATTAAATTTATGTGTGAATACGGAAAATAGATAAAAATTATGAGACATTATACGATCTTATACGATATATAATGTACAACAGAATAAAAAAATTATATATTGTGTTTCTGAAACTGAATTAATTCGATTTTCAATGCAAATATGCAAGTGATAAAAACATATTGTAGTGTATAGTGTTTGCTACCAAAAACCCCAGAAGAATGGGTTGGTACCACATTCAGCCTTGGAATCCAGGTATATACCAGGTGTACCATATATCTAGGTGTACCATACTCTTACCTATTTCTACCAAAAAACGGAAGAAGTTTTGAAGGGTATGAGTGCCAGCATAATTACATACTGTGGGGTATTTTATCTATGTACTCAGGAGCCGCAGGATCATATCTGATGTAAACAAAAAAGTTAGTTTGAGGTTCATGAACTATTTCACTCAACTCACTTTAATTCGTTCGTTCTCGCTCTCTCATCACCCTAATATTAAAAAATAAATTGTTAAATTTGTCTAGCAAAGATGTTGAGTGGTAAAATGAATAATGATCATCATTTAATTTTATTCAACTCATACCACAGTTTTACGATCCATGCTCGTGAAACTTGTTAGGACTTATTATGTTTGTTTGTGTACGTAACCCGTACGCATGGGTCCCGTGTGATGGTTTCGTTTGTGTGCATGTACCGTTAGCAGCAGTCAGTGTGTAGGTCAGGGCTATTCTTGTTTTTCGCAGTTCCGTATAGAGGTGAGCGTTATTTAACGTAATCGGTTTCAGAAACTGCTTACGAGGCTGATAATCGTATACCCAGTTTCGTGGACAAAAATGTAACGATTATTTTACGTACGCAGTTGTCACTCACATAACGACCGGCGCACGCGTAGTTCCGTATTCATTTATTAAATAATACTTGACACCTGTTTTCGTATGATGTAGGTACGTAAAAACAAATGTTGTGTATTTTATTTGTACTTTTCCAAGTAAAACCCTTTGAAAGTAACGGAAGTTAAGAAACTCAAGTCGAATAAAATTATTACTCATACAAGGAAAACTTTTAAATTTTATTTTTTGTATATAATAATTAGTGATGCAACGAATACTACTTTTTACGAATACGAATACGAATATCAAACCTACTATTCGGCGAATATGAATACGAATACGAATATCTCGTCATGGTAACAAAAAAACTAATTTATTTGATGATTTTCTGTTGTTCTAATAATTAAAATTTACAATTTTATTATTTTTATTTAAAAAACATAAAATTTGTAGATTTTCTGGTTTTACGTGATTTCTTTTTTTCAGTTTGGATGTTCCCAGCCGTGAAAAAAGTTTTTCCGAGGAGACTGTACATAGTTTCAGTCCCCAGTCGTTGAGACTAAGGACCAAAACACACGTATTTTTTACGCGCCGAACAGGCGCGTTATCCAAATCCGCCAGTAATTAAAGTTGCGTACAAAAATATTAGTTTTTAAATATTCGTGATCAGTATTCACGAATACGAATATTCGGTAAATGTCTACTATTCGGCGAATACGAATATTCGTATTCGTTGCATCACTAATAATAATATATTAAATAATACTACTCACATGTTGAAGAACAAAGTTTCGGATAAGTTTATTAATAGAATAAGGCTCACAAACGAGCACACAGTCTACCTAATGGTAAGTGCATACTGTGGCCCATAGACATCTACATCTATCCTCGATTAAAAATCAAAGTGCAGATGCGTTTTCACCCCTGAGATGGAATGACTCGCTTCCAGTAGAAATGGATCACTGTTTCTTTACACTCACCATACGAAACACTGCAGCAGTAAGTTGGTATTTCACGCTGGTTATCTGCGAGAGCGTGGTCCTTCACCGGTCAAGCCAAACCATGAGTGTTACGACTATAATATAGCTGCAGCGAGGCTCTACCACGTTTAAAATATGTATGGATATATCCTTCAAGTTATATGCCACAATCGCTCAGCGAGCTATGGATTCTATGCTATGTTCGAAATTTCTCTACGTGATAGACTTCGTAATAAGGATATCCGTAGTATGACGAGTAGACACCGAACAGAATATGAGGTATTCCACCTTAGTCCCAAAAGGATAACGTTATTGTAGCCTCCATTTTTGATCGTAGTTGGTTGCAAGTAATTGCTTATTTTTTCGACAGATGCGCTATCACCAGCGAAAGCGTCTATAGACTTATTGTTTAAAGTTCGTTGCAGGTAATAATGGGCTGCAATAGACACTTACCATCAAGTGCTTTGTAAGTTCAATTGTCGGGAATTTTCTATTATATTTATTTTATAGGATAAGGGTGACAAACGAGCACACAGTCCACCTGATGGTAAGTGGTTGCTGCGGCCCATAGACATCTACATCTATCCTCGTTTGCGAATCAAAAAGCAGATGCGTTGTCACCCGTGAGGACTAAGATGGAATGCCTCATTTCCAGTAAAAAGAGCCTCCGGCCACCTGCACTCACCAAGCGAAACGCAGATGTAAACCTCTACTTCACGCTGATATTCTGTGAGGTCGTGGTACCACCCCGGTTCGAGCCGGCCCATCCGTGCGACAGCAAAAGCTGTCGCGTGGCTCTACCACTGTTAATAGTAATATGTTACAATACCTAATCAGACGTGTGCGAAATGCTAATCAACACAGGAGTAACAATGTTACTCTCGCACAACTATTGGTTCCGGATTTGATTTTAAGTCAGTACCCGCTACTCGGTGTTCAAGAATCCTACCATATAAGTAGCGCATCCGAAAAGTCATAAAAAGTGCAGACATACAAACGCGTAAGTATATCGTATTAAGCATTAAAAAAACATTCTTTGTTCATACTTAAACGATATTATAAACGATGTGAAAAGGTGTCTAGTATAAATAAATAAAAAAAAAATGACTTGAATTTTACTCGTTGAGTGTTGTATAGGGTGCTAACGTTACTTTAGCTTAAGCAGTTTTGAAAGCAAGAAAACAAAATGTAACTTTTACGTGTTTATCATACGGTTTAAATTTGCAACACCGTGCATAGCGCTTACTACGAATCGTATCTAGACCGTATCGTAGAGATTGGTATACGTATTTCGAAACAAAACTAAAACGTGTGGCAAATGAATATGTTGAACAGTTTGCGTTCTTATGTTTTGGACAGTAAGGTTTAAAATAAACGGTATCTGTGCCTAATGTTCCAGAGAATTCTTAGAGTTTCGCATGGCGGGCAAAATGTAAACAAACAACGCAACAGGTACTTGTCGAATATATTGAGTAACTTAAGTTGTTAGCCTTTTTACCCGACTGCTCGACTAGATAATATTATATTTATCAGCCTATAATATAAGTATGTATGTTTGTTCCTTTGTGGCACTGTAGAAATCAAACGCGTGGGGTATTTTTGACGATTCTTACGTTAATCGATTTGTCTTAATTTTGTGAGTGTCATGATCCAGTAATTAAAATTCAATATGGCGCCAATCAGACATCATATTGTGAAAAAGAAAATATTAAAGTCGACCCCAGAAGTCGACGATCCATCTTTGAAAATCATCTTTAGATTTCTTAAATGATATTTCAATTTAAATGATTTAAAGTAAATTAGCAAACATTGTCACTTAAATCTTCAAAACTTATAATAAATGCTGTGATAAAATTCTTTTATAATCGTATAATAGGTCATGAATGAGAATGGGGTGACAAACGAACACACAGTCCATCTGATGGTAAGAGGACGCCGTGGCCTATAAACATCTCTACATTTATCTTCGATTAAAAATCAAAATGCAGATGCATTTTCACCCCTGAGCATTACGGTGGTATGCCCCTTTTCCAGTAAAAATCCCGTTCTCTACACTCACCATACGAAACACAGTAGAAGCTTTTTTACGCCGGTATTCTGTGAGAACGTGGTCTTTCTCCGGTCGAGCCGACCCATTTGTACAAGAACAATAATATACCTGCACGTGGCTCTACCTCGTAAAAATTAATAATAATTTTTTAAGCATTGAGGTTTTTTTTTTAACCAGTAATGAACCATTAATCTTTTTAAGTAAGGATAAAAGAGCAACAGTGGAGTTGTGACTTTTTGTGTCCTCATTTAATGAAGTGGTTTCATACCAGTAGTAATATCTTGTTAACAAGAACTACTTAACATAAGCTCATTAGTGTAACGTGTGTGTTTGTTTACATTAAAATATTTACTGTTACGTAATCAATCCATTAAAGTAAACAAAGGAGCTTACAAATAATTTAAGGTTAGTGAATGCTGAATGCAAATTATTTGCGTTCACTGACCTTAAATGATTTGATAAAATAAATTTATAAATTTGGATTTGTAACATACAATGAGTGGGGTTGTTATAAATTAATTTGCTTAATTCCGCGTAAAGA